TCTACTGGAATATTGGACCTTGCGCACAGCAATTAAATCAATAAATCAAAATAGAAAACATTGTGTGCTGAGTGCACCGTCAGCAGAAGCTATAAATACGTTAACAAGTCAATTTAGTATTCAAATCAACTAATATAAAGCAACAAGGCAAACATCAGAATAACTAATTAAGCAGTAATACAATGTTAGGAGCCAGAAATCAGTATATATATACTATCAAATACCTAAATTTACCACTGTAATAATATGGCAAGGGCAATGGTTAACAAGCATCTCATACTAAGCCAACATAACGCAACAAAAAAAAGATGGCTCTGATTGTTGATGGGACATTGTTTTCTCATTTCTGATAGAGCTAAAGGTAATGGATATGCCGATCAGCCAGAGTAAGCCCCACAGTCATATAGGAGCGAATGGCACCAAAGCCTAGGCTATCAAGGGAAGCACATGGTTTATTGTGTGTGATGTGTGCGCGTGCGTATGCGTGTGTGCGCGCGTATGTGTGTATGTGTGTGTGTGTGTGAGAGAGAGAGAGAGAGCGCCTATTTTTGAGTTCTGACCATGGTGTTAGGCGTGTAGTTTCAAGTGTTGTCATCATTCGGACCGGTGGGGCGTCGAGAACTTATATATGTTTTGGACATTAAGCGGTCAAACCTAAACTATCTCATCTTCTTCCTCCTATCCATGCTCGAGGCGACACCACCGTTCTTACCTCACCATTGCCTCTTGACAATGACATGACCCTCCAATATGATTATAGAGGACATATTTTCCCTCCTAAACATAGGGTTGGCTAAGTTGTAAAACATACGGACTTTATCTTAGAAGGGAAGAAAAAGAAAGAATCCTAATCCTAGCTCGTTTGGCGAGGGTTCCTTGTGGTCGACCTGCCCATCCGGGTTCAAGTCCTCGACTTAGCACAGGTGCTCGTATTTTCCTGGATTTATTCTAGGATTTAACGGCGTTATGCTTTCAGTGGTAGACGACGACCTGTGGTGACTTCGTCAATCTCGAGATGTGTCGGCACAGTCTTTCGAAGGTGCTCATAGGGGTAGGGTTTTGTTGGCGGCCCTTAACTCCAATATTTTGCCCGCCAAAGTGCATTAGAATGACAACATTTCAGGCTACATCATAACAAAATATTATTTTATCTAACAAGTTCCACGAGTTTTGGTGCTCTCATTTGTTTTGCAGGACATAAACATAAATGCATGGAAAATTTCACCGAAAGGCGCTTTTCGACGCTGATTTGTGCAAAGGAACAATAAAGATGTCCATCAATTCAACTCATTCGGACGAAAAAACCACCGATGAGAAGTCCAGGACCAGCCCACGGCTCACCACGCGAAGGCGGTGGCGAGGGGGCTTGGTCAAGGGGGCGGCCGACCCCTCACTGGCGCCTCTCTGCCGCTCGTTCGACAGGCAGTGGCATGGGAGCATGAAGAGGCGGTGGAGGCCGGGGACGCACCAAGAATAGCCACTGCACCGCCTCAACTCCTTGTATAAATAGAGGGGCACCCCCCCTCTACAACACACACCTATCTTGAGCTTCATCTTCACACATTTTGTAGTAGTATCCCTCTAGGTGCTTCACACCTAGTTGTAATAGAGAAAAAGAGGAAGAGAGGAGAGGAATAGAGCAAAGGAGGAGCCAGGTTTGTCAGGTTCTCCTCAACTTTGTACCTCTACGGAGCCGACTCGACTTGAGTAATATCCAATTTCTCTTTTGGTATTTTCAAGCATACTACTTAACTAAGTTTGGTTGTTGCTTTGCTTACTTACGGGAGCTCAGCTCGACCGACTGCTCTAGTATAAGAATTCGGGCTAGAGTAGTAATCGTTAGTGTAGATGTGGTGTCTAGGCTAGTGTTTACCTGAGTTTGTACCCAATTCCACGGATAGTTGTGGTAGCCCCAGAGGTGACAGCTCTGACCAGGCCTTTGTAATCCACCACTTTCAGATTGGTGTTTTCGTAGAGCTTTTTGGTAGCCTGATCCCGATCACCCTTTCCTAGTCTTTTCGAGGATCGGAAAGGTATTGTTGCTTCGAAGTAAGTGAGTTTAGTAATTAAGCTTGAACCTTGGTTACCTAGTTATCTTAGGAAAACCTTAGAAAACCCCTCTCTTCCCACAAAAACACTTTATCCTTGGATGACCTTGATCCTTTCTAGTACACTTCATGTTTCCCGTGGAAATCGATACCTAGGAATACTCCGGGTGAAAGCTACAGCGGTATCCGTGCGATTGCGGATTTATCTGTTTGCGTTAACTAATATGAACAGGTTTGCGTACGTGTGTTCATAGAGGTGAGTGTGCGCGCGTGTTAATCGTCGACGTCTGTACTTATGTAATTCGAAAAAAATCATAGTCTGTTTGTATATAGGCTTTTACCAAACTCTTAGACCTTAGCGAGACTATATATATATGAGAGTACCAATAATCATATTCAGATAAATAAAGAATAGTCTTCATATCTCTTATGCCTATGTGTTATATTCTCATCTGCTATATGTTAATTACGAGAGAGACGAAGAGGAAAAGTCCTAACTGCGGGTGACATGACAACTCATAATCAAAGGGTATTTTCACCGATGTGCTACACAAGGCATTTACCACAACTTACCCGGATTCTATTGTAACTAACTAGAAACCAATCAGCAAATCCATGTTTCCCATATTGTTCAAAAAATAAATCTCAGTGCAAAATGTTTCCGTTTAATTAATTGTCTACCAGCACCGTATCAGGAAAAAAAATACAATTATGGCTACACCGCTAGAATTACATTATTATTCTTGCAACCGAGATATATAGTCCAGACCAAAATGTTGGAACCACACGCATCATTGGCGGTCACAACCACATGCATATTTCTATTGGTAGTGACCAGCTGCACTCATTCACCTGTTGGCTGTAGGTTGTTGGAGGCCGAAATGTTTTGATTTCCTTATAACTTAGTAAAAGCCAAAAAGTACAAAACAATGCTTTAGTTGTCTCTTATAAAAAAAGCTATTGTTTTCATGTGAAGCTCACAAGATACATAACAAAAGACAAAGGATATCCGAGTCTTTTTGCCACAAAAATCAGACAACAAAAAAAGCACGTCCACGCATGTACAATTAACTTGTGACAGTGGACAATGACAATGAAAAATAACAGGTTTCATTGAGCCGTTAAGAAAGACCCGACCGTCTCAAAAACCAACGGTAAGATGTGACAGGGAGAGATCGTGAGTTTTATCCTCTGCATGTTAATCGATGTTAAATGAGGTAGTTAGCTTAGAATGCTCGCCTCTTCATGTTAAGTCCTCTGCATCAAAAAATGTATGACCTTCTAATTTAATTGCATCTATTAATGTAGCATTAGGCGGCACTTAGTCGTGCTCGCCTCCGTTAATCAATAGCCCTATCTTCCAAAATCGTTTTTGTGACAGTGGATCCTGATTTGCTTATGTTTCTTTGCAGCTCCTGTTCCGCTGTGCGAGGAAGCTTGAGCTTTACGTCGGTTACATATCTCGCCGTTTCTATTTGAGTCCCTTCCTTGTCCTCGCACCATTCTAGATGTACAAATGTCTAAGTCCACCCAACCAATAGGATATGTACTCTTATTTTATTAAAGTAGTTCTGTTGTTTATTTCACGCTTTCCAAATTACGTATCCAAAAGAATTCAAACGATTAAATTTGGGATCACTTTAAATTCTGTTGATCACGCTGCACCTTTTTTTTCGAACTACATAGTACAACGCAGAAACTCACAACGCACGCACACTTACCCCTATGAACGTAGACACGTAAAAGCTACCCCTATGAGATCCTCAAGGTTGACGAAATCATCAAAAGTATTACACAGTACAACACAGAAACTCAACGCACGCACATTTACCCCTATGAACGTAGGCACGCAAAACCTACCCTTATGAGATCCTCATGGTTGACGAAGTCAACAGAGGCGTCTCGCTGTCGATGGGAACGTCACATGTACCACTGAAAGCACAACGCCGTTAAATCCTTGAAAATTCGCTCGCACAAGGGTCAAACTCACGACATGAGGTGCTTCTGAGACTCTCGTAACCACTGGACTATAGACTCCTTCGCGATCGCTGCACCTTACTTGAATTAGAAACCTTGATAACAAATCCCTGTCTCTCTTATTGTCCGCAAATTATATCTCAGGGTGTGTTTAGTTGGGTGAAAATTGGAATTTGGGCTACTGTAGCACTTTTCGTTTTTATTTGGTAAATAGTGTTCAATCATGGACTAATTAGGCTCAAAACGTTCGTCTCGCAATTTCCAACCAAACTGTACAATTAGTTTTTTTTCGTCTACATTTAATACTCCATGTACGTATCGCAAGATTCGATGTAATGGGTACTGTAGTACTTTTTTGTATTTTGAGGTGCCAACTAAACACGCGCTCAATTCTCATTGCATAATGTCTCCTTCTAATTAATTGCTACTGTCACCATCCTAGAAAAAATAATACAATTGTGGCGCCTACACCGTTAGAAGTGCACTATTTTTGGTACCGAGATAGGCAGACCAAAATGTTGGAACCATACGCATCATTGGCAGTCACAACCACATGCAATGCAGTTGGCACATCATATTTCTATTGACAGTGACTGTAGGCAGAAAGTACAAAACAATGCTTTAGTTGTCTCTTATATTAAAAAAAGCTTTAGTTTTCTTGTGAAGCTCACAAGATACATAACGTTAAGACAAAGAATATCCGATTCTTTTGCCCCAAAAAACTTGACAACAAAAATGTACGTCCACACATGAATAGTTAACTTGTGACACCAGACAATGACAAGGAAAAAGAACAGGTTGCATTGAGCCGTTCAGAAGGATCCGACCGTCTCAAAAACCAACGGTAAGATGGGACAGGGAGAGATCGACAGTTTTTTCCATTGCTGCAAGCTTGCAACTCTGAAGTTTCAGGCAAATTCTTCACCCCATCTCGCCTCTCCTTTCCAGCAACGTAGCCTATAGACCTAGAGAGTAATGGCGGAGAACGGCGTTCAGCAACACCTGTTACATGACGGCGACCGTTCTAAGATGCCGCCGCCGGGAAGGGCGAGAAGGTTCCGGCGCTGCCAGACGGCGCCGTCTCACAACGCCGAGCAAGGATCCATTCTCCTGAGGCAGAACATGAGTCGGAAGGGCGCCAGCGGCACCTTGCCGCCGGTGCCGCCCAATGGGCTGATCACCGGTGCGCGGCCGAGGTTCTGGCTCGTGGGCATCCTCCTGCTCGCCTACCTCCTCGCCGGGACCGCCGCGTTCTACCTCGCCATGGATGACATGTCCGGTGACCGCAGCGGCAACCGCGCGCTGGATGCGCTCTACTTCTGCGTGGTCACAATGACCACCGTCGGGTACGGCGACATCGTCCCGTCCAGCGACGTCGCCAAGCTGCTGGCCTGCGTCTTCGCCTTCGCCGGCGTGGCCCTGGTCGGAGCCTTCCTTAGCAAGGCCGCCGACTACCTTGTCGAGAAGCAGGAGGCGCTCGTCTTCCGCGCGGTGCACCTTAACCACGCCGACGACCCCAAGTCGCTGCGGGACATGGAGGCCAACAAGGTCCGCTACAAGCTCTACACCGCCACCGGCCTCCTTGCCGTAGTCCTCGCGTCCGGGATGGCGTTCCTGATGAAGGTCGAAGGGATGCGCCTCGTGGACGCGTTCTACTGTGTGTGCGCGACGGTAACCACGCTTGGGTACGGCGACCGCAGCTTCTCGTCGACGGCCGGGCGCGCGTTCGCAGCTGCGTGGATCATCGTGAGCACGTTGGTGGTGGCGCTGTTCTTCCTGTACGCGGCGGAGCTGGCCGCGGAGCGGCGGCAGAGGGAGCTGGCGCATTGGGTGCTCACTCGGCGGACTACCAGCATGGACCTCGAGGCGGCGGACCTCGACGGCGACCACAGGGTCAGCGCCGCAGAGTTTGCGCTGTACAAGCTCAAGGAGCTGGGGAAGATCAGCCAGGAGGAGATCGCAGAGTTCCTGGAGGAGTTCGACGAGCTCGACGTCGACCACTCTGGCACCCTCTCGTCGCACGACCTGGCCGTCGCACAGCCCGGATAGACCGGCAATCACCGGGAGACGGGAGCCACTGACACGCTGCAGGGTTCTGTGGCCAGGTGCGCTCCATCCGCAGGATAAGCTCTGCGCTCAGCTTTCAGATGGGCTGCCATTTTTTTAGGCTCTGCGCTCAGCTCTGTAACACTTTTTAGCTAAGATAAAGACAGCACTGGTGAATTTGGTACAGGCAAATTTGGATCAACACAAAACAAGAAAAGAAGGCCCATGGACAAATGTCAAAACCCGGCCGGAAGGTGCACAACATGATTGCGTAAATAAAAGACAGTAGAAAACGAAGGAGGCCGTGTCATATGTATTTTGATCTTGTTCCTAGAATAGCCCGTAAATGCGTATGTTCACCTCCGAGTGCCCAATCCCAGTGGCCTCACACTCATCATGTGTTGGTGTGGGCGGTGGTGACACCGTAATAGTAGTAGGTCCTGGCGGCGGCTTGATCGATGGGGAACAGGCCAGCGTGTTCCACAGTCAGCCACACGACGGTTGTGGGCTCGCCCCCATTGCTGAGGTGTTTGGCATGGGACTCTCGACTGCACCGGTAGCTTGAGCAGAGCAGCATCTCGACCCACACGTTGAAGATGGCTTGCAAGAAGTCCAATCCCGGAGTCTCAGTCTCCTCCATGCGGAGAAGTTCATCTGCAAGTTTACTCCCGAGAGGAATGTAACTTTTAATACTGCCTGTATTCATCAGATGTTGCTGATTGGCTGTTTTGGCACTTGAGGGGACCCCGTTGGCTTTGGGTTCACCTTCATCTTCTAGAGCTGCATCGACGATGGAGTAATCTCCGCACAAGATGCTTGGGAGCGTTTCCTCTCCTTGGGACAGCCTAGATGAGCAAGGACCTATGCTCTGCTTTCTTTTCTGAAGAGGTTTGCCTCCATAGCATCAATGGCTCCTTTATAACCCTCATTCCAAAAGTTGATGGGCCAACCAGAATCAGTGAATACAGGCCCATCTCCATGCTCAACTCCTCAGTAAAGATCACCACTAAGCTGCTGGCTAACAGACTTCAGCCCTGAATTACTAAGTTGGTCCATGTCAATCAATATGGCTTCATCAAGTCTAGATCTATTCAGGACTGTCTGGCTTGGTCCTTTGAATATCTGCACCTTTACCACTCTTCAAGAAAGGAGCTTGTAATCTTGAAGCTAGACTTTAAAAAAGCATTTGACAAAATTGAACATGAGGCTATGTTGCAAATTATGGCGAAGAAAGGTTTTGGGGAAAAATAGCTGGCTTGGTTGAAGCTTATCTTTTCTTCTGACGCCTCTTCTGTTCTACTAAATGGTACTCCTGGTAAGGTCTTCCATTGCAAAAGAGGTGTTAGGCAGGGGATCCCTTATCCCCTCTTCTGTTTGTCCTTGCTGCAGATTTACTGCAATTAGTTCTCAACAGGGCAAAGGAATAAGGGTTGCTCAATCTCCCAATCCCTCTTCAGTATACTAATGACTTCCCAATTCTTCAGTATGCTGATGACACTCTTATTATTATGGAAGGATGTGCTAGTCAATTGTTTGTGATGAAAGCTCTTCTAAACACTTTTGCTGATTTTACTGGTCTAAAGGTGAATTTCTCCAAGTCAATGCTAGTTCCAATTAATATCTCTGAGGAAAGACTTCAACACCTTGCTACCGCCTTTGGCTGCTCCGCTGGTAGTCTACAATTCACCTACTTGGGGCTTCCATTGGGTACTACTAAACCAAGAGTTGAGGACTTCTTGCCTTTGGTGACTAGATATGAAAGGAGGCTGGTCAGCACATCTCTTTTTCTCTCTCAAGCTGGGAAGATCCAGATGACTAATTCAGTCTTCACATCCCTTCTTATGTTCTTCATGAGCACTTTCCACCTTTATTCTACTGTCAGGGAGCAAATTGACAAATATAGAAAGCACTGTCTTTAGAGAGGGGCTGAAGAAAACAACAGAATCAATGCCAAGGCTGCTTGGCCCATGGTGACCAAGTCAAAAGAAGAAGGTGGACTTAGAGTGCTGGACCTCAAAACCCAAAATGAGACCCTGCTCCTAAAAAACTTTCACAAATTTTTCAACAGAGCAGACATCCCCTGGGTGCATCTTATCTGGGAGAAATATTATAGTAATGGTAGGCTCCCTAATCATGTCAAGAAAGGGTCATTCTGGTGGAAAGATGCTTGAAATTATTAGATAAGTTTAAAGACATGGCCTCAGTTTCAGTGGCAGATGGTGCTTCTTGCCTTCTCTGGAATGATTGCTGGATGGGTCAACCTCTAAGATTAACCTTTCCTGAATTGTTCTCTTTTGCCAAGAAGCCTCTCATTTCTCTCCAATGTACAGCCTCAGTTAGTAACACCTCCAGCCTGTTCAACCTTCCTCTTTCAACAGAGGCCTTTGCATAATTTCAACAGATTGAAATCATCCTGCAAAACCTTCAGTTGTCTGATGGTGTTAACACCTGGATGTATATTTGGGGCAGCTCCATTTTCACCTCCAAGAAGGTTTACTGTCAGCTACGTGGAAGAAGTTGGTCACACCCAATTTATAAATGAATTTGGAAATTCTCTTGTCAGCATAATCACAAGGTCTTCTTCTGGTTGCTCACTCATGACAGACTGAGCACCAGTAACATTTTAAGGAGGAAGCACATGCATCTTTCTTCTCACAATTGTGTGTTTTGTTCTTCGAATGCTGAGAAAAATTGTTCAACATCTTTTTTTAAATGTGAAATGGCTAAAGCCTGCTGGAATCTTATTGGCATCACAGTTAATTTAGCACTGGACCCTTTGTAGATCTTCGAGAGTTTCAGAATACAGCTAAATGTCAGCTTTTTTATAGAAATCATCATCATTATGAGTTGGAGTATCTGGATTATTAGGAATGATGCCATTTTCAGATGACTCCCTGCTACCGTTCAAAGGGCTTCAGATTTTTTCAGGCACACTTTTGGCTTGCTCTTATGGAGGTCAAAAAAGAAATACTTTCCTTCAATTGAATTATGGCTAGAGCACTCTCTGTAATTGTTTTAATTTTCTTTGTTTCTTTTTTTTTGTTTCCTGAACATCGGTCTGCCTGCGGTCTTTTCTTATAACTTCTGGTAAAACTTTTGCTTTTTTATAACCTTCTTGGTTACTCTAATAAATTTCCAGTATGGACTACCCGAGTCCCTCATGTTCCCTCAAAAAAAAAGATGAGCAAGGATGACCATGCCACCTTAACAATCTCTTGAGCAAACCTAGGAAGATGATGTCCCAGAGGCTACGCCGAGGTCTTGATCTGCACCGCCTACTCCGGTTCCGGTAGTCACTCGATAATCGGAATAAATCCTGGCAGGTCAGTTTGTACAAGCTGCGAAGAGCAAGGCCGGGAAGCATGTCAGGGCGAAATGCGAGGAGGAACATCATGTAGCTTGACAGTGTCCCGATTGCCTCACGTATGGCATTGCAGATTCAGCCTTGGCTTTTTGTTGGACTTGAAGAGGAAAACATGGGTGGCAATATGCCAGGTGAGGATGCCCTCTTGGTTGGAGTTCGTCGCCAAGACTCCAGCGGAGATCCATGCGTCTTAGGCTCTTAGCCCCTCTAGCGCCGCTTCTCCCCTCTGCGTCCTGAACCTGTCCAGTTTGGCCATCGAATCTTTCACAATTTCTTGATCGACCTTTTCGTCCATGTGTTTCTTGCGTTGTTGATCCAGCAACGTCTCCTTTGTACCCTTGATATCTTCCAGCATCTCCTTTACACGCTCGAACATCAGCCTCTTGACACATTCTGGAATCTCAATTGTCCGTGAGTGACGGAATTTGGTCCACCAGTCCTCGTCCTCGACGCCGAACATCTTGGCCAGCATGCTGCATAGGTCGTCTGGATCGTCGCGGGTGCTGCAGAAGCGCAGCAGGTTGAACTGCCCCATGCTGCCTGACCACCTCCTGTATCCTCCTTTCAGCCTTAAAGCAAAAATAATGAGGCTGCCAAGGGATGCGAGCGCACTGTGAAGCCGATGCCATCGTCTCGTGCACAAGACTGCATGGTGGAGCCAGCTCCATCGACGCTTGCTGCAGCGCAAGGCGGATGCAGCCCATGATGAGCCCAGCGTCCTGAACAGCAACGCCGTCTCCAGGAGTAAGGTGGCGCCCAGCAAAACACCGAGGCCTTGGTGTAGAGGACGTCGTACATCAGGGAGAGCTGCATCTCGACCACCTTGCACATGTCTTTCCATCCACGGTCAAGCAGAGATGACGACGTGCCTTCTTGGGCAGCGGGGTCTTCTTTCACATCCGAAGCATCAACCATGGCATGCACGCAAATGTTCTCGAACAGGGAGTGAGCATACAACAGGGCCTCTGCTTCTTCCTGCAGGTACTCCGACTCCGACCCGGTCCATGGTCGAGGGCTGTAGCAATGTCCACAGCCGCTGTCCAAGCCGTTCTGTGCCACCAGCTCCTCCTTCTCTACCGTGCTCCGGATGTTGTCCAGGTTTGCACGGTAGAGTGCTAGTATCTTCTCCCCGTACTTGTATGCACCAAGGATGAGCATCAGCCAAGCTGAAATGACCAAGCTCCAGCTGCCGGAAACCGACGTCCAGACGACATATCCAGCTCCGACGACCCGCAGCAAGGCTTCCAGCATATCGCGCCAGGAGAGATTGTTGTCTTCGACCGACCAGGCGGTGATGCTGTCGGGGCCACCGAGGTGCAGCAGGAAGAAGGCGCCCCAGAGGGCGACAAGCTGGTGCTCACCGGGGGCCGATGAATTTGAGCACGGGGAATTTGAGCACGGGGCTGTCAACTCTGCGAAGATGGCGAGGGAAATGTGCAGGAGCAAGCTCACGAGAACCAGGAATTCCATGGACCAGCTACTCCAAAAGCTCACCACCGCATTCGGAGCAAGTAACAGAACATGCCATACTATGTCCAGCACACACACCTCTCCAGCCATGGATTCACCGATCGATCTGCACGAGCTGAACTAAAATGGCCACAAAATAATGGCCGTAAAATCAGTTGTTGAATGAGTA